GAGAGGACTTGAGCTTCCACCTGTAGCATCTCTACTCTTAGTCTCTGTGATTGAAACCAGGTGCCTGATCCGCTGCAGAACCGAGCTGGTACCAACGCCCACCAGTTGATGGGTTTTAAGGGTTGGTGGGATTTTCCAAGATGAGTTCCATCAGTTTTTCTCGTAAGGTGTTTGATGAGGTGGGGGGTGTTGGGGAGACCTTATGTTTGTCCAGAGCTTGGTCCAGTGACCCGCAAGTCAAGCATCTACATTCTGTGCCTCCCCTGGTCTGCACCCCAGCGCCCCACGCCAGCCTCTCCTCTGGGTGTGCCATGGGCCAACGGCGGCTGGGCCCCTTCTCTGGGTGGGGTGGTCTTCTGGGTGACTTGAACACACCTCTTTCACCACTAGATAGATCTTCCAAACAAAAGCTGAACAAAGAAACTATGGAACTGAACGATACAATCAATAATTTAGACTTACAGACATAAATAGAATATTTCATCCTTCAACCAGTGAATTCACTTTCTTGTCAGCAGTACATGGATCCTTCTCTAAAACAAACCATATATTATATTAAACAGCAAATAGAAAAAGTAAAGATACTACCCTGTATTCTATCAGATCACAATGGAATGAAATTAGAAATCAATGATAAAATAAAAAAATAAAAGCTACTCCAACACCTGGAGACTAAATAATATGCTACTGAATGAACAATGGGTTGCAAAAAACATTGAGAAGGAGATAAAAAAATTCTTAGAGGTGAATGAGAACACAGATACAACATATCAAAATCTCTGGGACCCTATGAAGGCAGTACTTAGAAGAAAGTTCATTGCATGGAGTTCATTCCTTGAAAGAAGAAAAAATCAACAAATAAATGACCTAACATTATATCTCAAAGCTCTAGAAAAAGAAGAATAAATCAACACCAAAAGCAGTAGAAAACAGGAAATAATTAAAATCAGAGCTGATATCAATGAAATTGAAACAAAAAAATTGAAAAAAATTGATAAAACAAAAAGTTGGTTCTTTGAAAAAATAAATAAAATTAACAAACCCTGAGCCATGCTAACAAAGAGAAGGAGAGAGAAAACTCAATTACTAACACACATGATGAAAAAGGAAATATCACAACAGACACTACAGAAATACAGAACATAATTAGAAATTATTTTGACAATGTGTACTCCAATAAAGTAGAAATATCAAAGGTATCGATACATTTCTAGAGTCATATGATTTGCCCAAATTGAATTAGGATGATATACACAACTTAAAAAGATCAATTTCAAGAAAGGAAATAGAAGATGCCATCAGAAGTCTACCAACCAAGAATAGCCCAGGACCTGATGGATACACAGCTGAGTTCTACAAGACCTTTAAAGAAAAACAAATATCAATATCTTCAAATTATTTTGTAAAATAGAAAAAGAGGGAGCACTTCTAAACTCATTCTATAAGCCAATATTACCCTAATTCCAAAACCAGCAAAGACACATCAAAGAAAGAAAACTTCAGACCAATATTGCTAATGAACATAGATGCAAAAATTCTCAATAAAATTCTGGCAAATCAAAATCAAATACAAAAACATATCAAAAAGATAGTGTACCACAATCAAGTAGGGTTTATCCCAGGAATGCATGGCTATTTAAACCTATGGAAATTAATAAATGTAATGCATCACATTAATAGACTTAAGGATAAGAACCATATGATCATCTATATTGATGCAGAAAAAGCATTCGACAAAATGCAGCACCCATGCATGATCTAAACACTAGAAAAACTAGGGATAACAGGAACATATCTCAATATCATAAAAGCTATCTATGCTAAGCTCCAGCCAACATCATTCTAAATGGAGAAAAAGTAAAAGCATTTTCTCTAAAAGAGAAACAAGACAGCAATGCCCTCTTTCACTACTTCTATTTAGCATAGTTCTGAAAACACTGGCCAGAGCAATTAGACAGATGAAAGAAATTAAAGGATAGGAAAAGAAGAACTCAAATTAGCACTATTTGCTGACGATACAATTCTGTACCTAGAAGACCAAAAACTTCCACCAGAAAACTTCTAGAAGTAGTAAATTAATTCAGCACAGTAGAAGGATATAATATCAGCACCCATAAATCAAAGGCATTTCTGTACATCACTGACAAATCCTCTGAAAGGGAAACAAGGAAAACTACCTCCTTTATAGTAGCCTCAAAAACAAAATAAAACAAAACAAAAACCTTGGAAATCAACTTAACAAAAGAGGTAAAAGACCTCTACAACAAAACCCACAGAATGCTGAAGAAAGAAATTAAAGAAGACTTTAGAAATGGAAAGATCTACCTTGTTCTTGGATAGGCAAAGTTAATATTGTCAAAATGACCATACTACTAAAAGCACTATACAGATTCAATGCAATTCCAATCAAAATCCCAAGGACATTCCTCATAGAAATAGAAAAAGCAGTCATGAAATTCAACTGGAAAAAAAAAAAAAGAGACCCAGGATAGCTAAAGAAATCCTTAGCAAGAAGAGTGAAGTAAGTGGCATCACAATACCAGACCTTAAACTATATTACAGAGCAATAGTAACAAAAACAGCATGGTATTGGCACCAAAATAGACTGGTAGACCAATGGTACAGAATAGAGGACACAGAGACTAACTCACATAATTACAATTATCTTATGTTAGACAAAGGTGCCAAAATATACATTGGAGAAAAACTAGCCTCTTCAACAAATGGTGCTGGGAAAACTAGAAATCCATTTGCAACAAAATGAAATTACACCCCTATCTCTCACCATGCACAAAACTCAACCCAAAGTGGATCAAGGACCTAGGAATTAAGCCAGAATCACTGCACATAATAGAATAAAAAGTAGGCCCAAATTTCCATCATGTCGGATTAGGCCCCGACTTCCTTAATAAGATTCCTATAGTGCAAGAATTAAAATAAAAAATCAATAATAAATGGCATGGATTCAAACTAAAAAGCTTCTTCTCAGCAAAAGAAACAATCAGTGAGGTGAATAGAGAGTCTACATTTTGGGAACAAATAGAGCACATCAGATAGAGCACTAATCTCTAGGATATATAAAGAACTCAAAAAACTTAACACACACACACACACACAAAAACAAATACCCAATCAATAAATGGGTCAAGGAACTGAAAAGACACTTCTCACAAGAAGATATACAATAAATCAAGAAATATATGAAAAAATGTTCAACATCTCTAGCAATTAGAGAAATGCAAACCAAAACTACTCAAAGATTTCATCCCACTCCAATCAGAATGGCAGCTATTAAGAATACAAACAATAAGTGTTTGTGAGGATGTGGGGAAAAAGGAACACTTATGCATTGCTGATGGGACTGTAAATTGGTACAACCAATCTGGAAAGCAGTATGGAGATTCCTTGGAAAACTGGGAATGGAACCATCATTTGACCCAGCTATCCCATTCCTTGTTTTATATCCAAAGGACTTACCACAGGGACACAGCCACATCAATGTTTTTGTAGCAGCACAATTCACAGTAGCTAAACTGTGGAACCAACTTAGATGTCCTTCAATAGATGAACTGATAAAGAAAATGTGGCATATATACACAATGGAATATTATTCAGCATTAAAAGAGAATAAAACCATGGCATTTGCAGGTAAAAGGATGGAGTTGGATAATATAATACTAAATGAAGTTAGTCAATCCCAAGAAACCAAATGCTGAATGTTTTCTCTGATTTAAGGAGGCTGATTCATAATGGGGTTGGGGGTTGTGGGGCATGGGAGGATTAGATGAGCTCTACATAGGGCAAAGGGGAGGGAGGGGAAGAGAGGGGACATGGGGGTAGGAAAGACGGTGGAATGAGATGGACATCATTACCCTAAGTACATGTAAGAAGACACAAACGGTTTGACTCTACTTTGTGTACAACCAGATCTATGAAAAATTGTGTTCTATATGTGTAATATGAATTGCAATGCATTCTTCTGTCATATATAACAAATTAAAATTTTAAAAATAAATGGGAAAAAAAATGACCCAGTACCCCTAGAGGCCTTTGGAAGCAACATCATCAAAGAGACCTGTGGCTTGTGTGGCTTGCAAAGCGTTTAATCAGGCAATTAATTCTCATTACAGGGTGTTTAGCTCAATCAGCAAAGTAAAAGAAAGACTAAAAAAAGAATAAAAAGAGAGATGACCAAAAAATACTTTGTGGTAGAAAATTCAACATTGTCTCAGTTTAGGTACTAAGCACCCTATGAGAAAGAACAGCTCTTCTACTTGAGGCTGATTTCAGTGTGAGCATAACACCAAACCCAAACCAGCAAAGATACTAACACAGGGGCTGGAGTTGTGGCTCAGTGGTAGAGCGCTCACCTAGCACACATGAGGTACTGGCTTCAATCCTCACCACATAAAAATGAAATAAAGGTATTGTGTCTACCTACAACTAAAAAATAAATATTAAAAAATATTAACACAGCCACCCTTTATAAGAATGTGAAAGTTGTTTGCTCTGGTTGCATTTTTTTACACCTAATTTCAATCCTTTTTTAAATCTTATGATAAAAATGTTATATGCTCCCTTATTGCATTAATATCTGACATTTTAGCAAAATGAGTAAGGATCCATCCTACCCAGTTTCAGTGGTCACATATATGAATGTCATGGAATAAGGAACAAGTTGTTCTTTCCGGAAGGCAAAAATATAAGTCATATTGTCACTAAAAAGGCACCAGCACTGGACAGAATAGACAGTCACTTCCTAATGCCAAGAGTCAGTGCAAAAAAGAGTAGAAAGCTGACAAAATGAGGCAGAAAAGGTGAAGGGAAGCCAACTAAGATGCGACAGGAGAAAAGGGCCAGGGGCCAGGCACTTGGAGTGTTTGGAGCCAGGGTGCACTGGCTGGAGAAGCCCATCTCCCCTCTGCAATTCCCAGGCTGCACTTGAGTTTGCAGTCTACCTCAAGTCTAGGAAGCACAGCTGCTATTTTAGGTTCACTTACCTAGGCATTTTCTTTTCACCCTCTCCAGCTCATGCATTCTTCTGGCTGACAACACAAGAGAAACTCCCAGTTTAGACAGCTGGTAAGCCAGCTCCTCGCCAATCCCACTGGACGCTCCAGTCACCCACACCACCAGGTCCGTCAGCTCCTGTTCTATTGAGGAAGGAATAGGGTTGGAAGGCAGAAAATAAGTGATGGATTATATCCATAACAAAGACTGGAATAAACAAATTTCAAACAATACCACTAAAATATTAAGACCTAATTTAATGGAGTTTAAAATTTAAAAATTTCTAAGGAATTGCCTTATATCTAATTTTTTCAATAAATGAATACAAGCTATATTATTAACAGTAATTTTGTATATTTCAGAATGTTGGTAATTTTTCCAGCTTCACTTTCAGGTAGGCCTTAGAACTTCATAGTTCACTCCAAAGTTTATCTACATGTATCAAAAAGAAAACTAAAGCTAAGTAAACAGAAATTCATTTTCCAGACTCACTTTCCTTCTTCATATAATGGTGAATTCAGATTAGATGATCCCTAAAGATCCCAGCCTGTTTTCAATCAGTTCTTCTAACTTTCTGAAACTGAGCTATTGATGAGGAATGCCAATATTCCGAGTGCTGCTGTATGATAAGAACTAATCATCCTATGTTTATTTTTTAAAATACTTTCTCCAATTGCCACTTGTACTGGGTTTCTGCCAGCTAATGTGATTTTGTAATAGTGATAAGGAACAGGTAGACATAGGATGTGGGAACATGGAAAATGACAGGTTAATTTTGTAGACTGAGCCTCTATGCTAATTCTCAACATGTATTTTATTTATTTTTTTAATATTTATTTTTTAGTTATAGGTGGACACAATGTCTTTATTTTACTTTATGTGGTGCTGAGGATCGAATCCAGTGCCTCACGCATGCAAGGCAAGCGCTCTTCCTCTGAGCCACAATCCCAGCCCCTCAACATGTATTTTAAAGAAGCAACTTATACAAAATTTTCATGGCCCTGATGACTTAAGATAATAGCCCATAACGAACAGCATATTTTTCTCAGGGGAGAGAAGTGTCTACCCAAGACTCTTCTTCTGATAAGAGGACAGTTTGCCCTGTCTTAAAACTACCATAAAAATCTACAAAACATAAGTTCTAAATAAATCTGGTAAACACACACCAAGATGAATAAATTTTCTTCGGGGTCCTTGTCATATTATTTAACCTTGTTTTAATTATAAATTTTCATACCTAGGGGTTTCATTTAGACATTTACAAGTAAAACATATGCAGTAAGGCTTTAAAAATCTGATACAATCCATCTGTCATCAAGAACTAGGAGATGTACTCTGTCAGACCCTCTGAGAAATACCCCTTAACACAAATAAAAGCTGGGACACAAATAAGTGAGTTGTCATTCCCCTCTTTGTCCCTTGAGGATGCTTCCTACCTTCTTTATTTTTCTAGTAAACTTTCTCTTTCTCTTTTAATAATCTTTGCTCTATTTTTACTACATAAAATTCTCACTCAATAACTTTGTTCTAATTTCTCCTGCCTGGGACAAGGGGTTAATAGTCCTAATGGCTTAACTGCTTTATTACTTCTATGTGCTTTGATCTACTTCTTAAAACCATCATGAGAACCTTGTGAAATAGGTATTATTCTCTCACCGTTTTAGAAAAGGAAAACTAAGGTTAACAGAGATTAATTTACCCTAACTAAATTGTAAATTCCCATCAAGCCTGGGACCCTGTCTGTAATGTTTCTTGGTAAGCCTTGGTGCCTAACAAAGAGACTGAAACACAGAAAATACTTCAAAACTAAATAAATATTTAATCATTTTCCGAGAACCTTGGCAGAGCTGGGATAGGAGCCTAGGAATATGTAGCTCCAAAGTCCACACTGTCCACTGTGATATGATATACACATTGAAACTTGATCGATTTTCTTTGCTATGCTTGAGTTTGAACCCCAGGCCTCACCCATGCTAGGCAAGTGCTCTTCCACTGAATTACAGAGGCTTCATTGTAGTTGTGTTGTAGGACAGAGCCCTATGTACAGGCAATATTTAAAAACCAATATGTTTCTTAAACATTACAAAAATACAAATGTCCTTAAGAAAAGAGTCTCCTGTAAACATCTAAACCTGGAGTGGAAATAGCCCTAGCATTGTGTCTGGGCTACAAATCTCTCCTTTTAGGAAGGACTTCACAGGAATGACAGGTATGTATTCAGACATAGCTATGGGCTACTCATTTCTCCATGTATTTTCAATACTCAGACTCTAAGGGGAATACAGTTTCTTTGGAATCGTTTACTAACTGACCTAGAGCTAATAAAGATTTCTTCATCTTTACACAAGTAAGCAACTATTGCATAAAGCCAATAGTGAAAGAAGTGTCCAGGCTGAAGTTCACCTCAATACACTCAGGTCTGACATCACCCTCCCACCCTGAAGAAGACTTTTTTTGTTTAGCACCAACTTTCATTTACATTCCACAGAATCTGGCATATATGAAGACCCCACCACCACTACCCCATAAAGAGCTCCTGAAAGTAGATTCTTAGACAGAAACTTACAATCAATGCTAAACCCAGTTTGAAAATCTGTCCTCAAACCACTTCCTTCCCTCCCACACTGTGGAAGCTCATCATCTGAGACTTTCACACAAGTTGAATCATTCAAGGGTTCTTTCTTCCACTGACGGGATATAGCTTTAAATTCTACCCACTGGCAGCAGTGGGCAGCAGACCTGCCTTCTGGTACCAGAAAGAGTAAATTAAGCCTCTTCCACATGGCCATCCTTGTGTGTTTGAAGACAGCTGTTCTGTCCTCCCTAAGTGCTCCCATCTCTGGCTTCTCTAAGGCTCCATATTCAACTTCTATTGCTAACCCCACCTCATGAGCACAAGGTCGCTGGCTCTTCTCATAACATCTGTGTACCAGCTCTGGTTCCTTGGTCAATGCTCCGATTGAAGGGAGCCTGTCAGAAGAGGATGCAGGATTCCAGTGGGATCGGTGCAGTGCAGAGCAGGGTGAGCTGACACCATCACATCCCTTGTCCTGAGGAGAGTAGGGTCTATGAAGACCCAGGCTATGGCAGGCCACTGCTGTGCCCCCAGTGCCCAGTACAGAGGCATCATTGTAGTTGTAATGTAGGACACATGAGGCTGGCACTGAGGAATTATCAGGAAGCAGGTTTATTGGCTGCAGCCAGGTCTACATGGGGTGTGGGGTGCCGAATAAGCATCTAGACTTATTCCAGTTGTTTCTTCAGACTCTAAGTATCTACAGACACAGCCTAGACTTGTCTCATCTTTGCTGAGTGCCACATCACAGCTGATTCATGGTGAGGTTTCTGTCAACTGAAAGTTGACAGAAAGTTTTCCTTATATGTGTGGTTGATTTCCCTTTTCATAATCTTGTCTTGTGCTATAGATTTTTCTGGATCAATGTAATATCTCAATTCAGTTTCCCTTAAAATTCACCTTGTGAATCATGTGACCCTTTTGCCATGTGACACCCTATACTACCTTTGGGCTCTGAGAGGGTCTCTCTCAGCAAGGAAGTCCCCAAGACCTGCCCCTCCTTGGAAGGACTCCCAGCCTCAGAAGCATGAGCTGCGCAGGCCTCAATTGCTTGTGAAACACTTGGCATTCTGCCTCGGCCACAGAAATGGACCATCCCAGACCCAGAGAACCCCAAGAAGGGCATGTGACCCTGTCAGCTCTTCAACGTAACCCAGAGAGATCCACGCCAGACTTCTGTCCTCCAGAACTGTAAGATAGGAAACCCTGTGTTGTTTTGGGACACCAGGTGGCTGGTGATTTTTCACAATAGCCATTGAAAAAACTCGTACAAGAACCTATATCCCTGGTTGAGAAGAAATGTGTAGAACTTGGGGTGTAGCTCAGTGGTAGAGCACTTTCTTAGAATGCTCCAGGCCTTGAGTTCCATCCGAACACAACCAAACAACAACAACAAAAAAAGAAAAACAGAAAATCCACCAACCACAGCCATAATTTTGAGTACTGATCTTCCATGCAGGTTTTATATGAATTCTATGTCAGTGCCACATTCTTTATACCTAAGAAAATCCAAACCCCAGGTGAGGTAGACCGTTTGAAAAATATTCATATATTTGAACTTCATATATTTGAAGCTAATCTTTGCCCCCTTCCTAAATATCATTCTATTTGGAAGTATGAGAAAAGAAAGTTCCCGTAGAAACCTGAAGAAACCTACATTTCCTGGGCTTGGAAAGATCAGCTAACAGAATAACATCACATCTGAAATATGAACTGAACTGAAAGGCTCTTAATTTCCTTTCTCTGAGGAAGAAGTGGCAAAATATTTTTATGTTTTATATTGTTCGCCTACATATTGATCAGTCTCTCGTTATCTGTTCAAAAATACATTTAAATTCTCACCCCAGTGTAAAGGATAGCATAATTCTACATATACCTTATCAGTAACAGGTTACTTTCACCCAACTACAAACTATTAAATACATAGATAAGTCTGAATTCAATTTTTTAAGAACAAATAAAGTGTTTTAAAAACAAAAAGACTGTATTTGTTTATTTATATATGTAGTCCCTGGGTAACCAATGCTCAATCCTCTTAATCATTAGAGAAGTGCAATTTGAAATACCAATGTTTGGACATATTTAATTATCTTTGCTCAAAGATGATATCATGATATAACTAGTAACCCACAAATAAAAAGCTGAAAAAGATGGCCTAACAGTTTTAGGCTCTTTGAGAACAGCTTGGTGAAGTCTTTCCCCAAGCTTGGCATTTTAGAAGTCTTACATACATGGGGAACATAAATATGTTCAACATACAAAGAAGACAGTAAAAATTAGCATCACAACTACCGAAGTCATATGTGTGTGTGTGTGTGTGTGTGTATATATATATATATATATATATATATATATATATATATATATATAAAATGCACATATATTTTCCTTTTGAGATGAAATTCAGAATCTATTGTTCTTTAGAATAACTATAATCTCATGGATCAGCATATAAGAGATTTACATTTTTTATGTTTTTAAAAATTGTTATATATGACAGCAGAATGTATTACAATTCATATTACACATATAGAGCACAAAGTAGAGTCATACCATTTGTGTCTTCATACATGTATTTAGGGTAATGATGTCCATCTCATTCCACTGTCTTTCCTACCCCTTTGTCCCCTCCCTTCCCCTGCCTCCCCTCTGCCCTATTTAGAGTTCATTTAATCCTTCCATGCTTCCCACCCCCAACCCCATTATGAATCAACCTCCTTAAATCAGAGAAAACATTCAGCATCCAGTTTCTTGGGATTGGCTAACTTCATTTAGCATTACATTATCCAACTCCATCCTTTCATCTGCAAATGCCATGATTTTGTTCTCTCTAATGCTGAATAATATTCCATTTGTGTATATGCCACATTTTCTTTATCCATTCATCTACCGAAGGGCCTCTAGATTGGTTCTACAGTTTAGCTACTGTGAATTGTGCTGCTATAACCATTGATGTGGCTGTGTCACTGTAGTATGCTGTTTTAAAATCCTTTGGGTATAGACCGAGGAGTGGGATAGCTGGGGGCACT